TTAATTTTATTAATATGTTATGTAACACTAAACTTTATTATTTATATAAACACTGGGGAAATGAATACAAAAGCTAAGAAAAGTGCCAACATAATTTAATGAATATGTTTCCTTTCCGTTATTAAATTAATTGCTATATATATCTTATAATTTTAAACAATATTAATTTTGTTAATTGTATAAAGTTGAATAATAAATAACGTAAATTGATAAAAGACTATTTTATATACGTCCTATGTTTAATTAGTTTACTTAATTAATTTACGTTAAAAGGATAAAAATGTTATTTCTGTATGTGACATATTTTTCGTAATTTTTGCAGAGCTTTTACATTATCAATGGCATATATTCTTCAATATATTCCAATATTAAGATTTTTCTAAATATTTTATGAATATTATAGCGTTATTCTGTGCTTTTTGTACATTTTACAAATTTTTAATTACATATTATTCAAGTTGTTAATTTTGAGGAGTTAAAAGATATACTTAATTGATTTATTTTAAATTTAATATTATATATTATTATTTAATATTATTTTATGTGTTTATAATATAAGAAGTTTGTTTCTATTCACTTGTTGTTTCCTTCCGCATTTATGTATGATATCTTGATAAAGTCTCCATTGTCACTTGCTATCATACCTTTATATGTTATGGATAATATACAAGTACCAGGCAATAGAAGGGAACTAATATGCAAAATAGCAATTTGCAATTTATTAATATATGAAACGTTATGTGAACTATACATAATTTCATTACTATCAATTTTATTTATTAATGAAAATTGAGTTATATTTAAATTCGTTGAATGCAAAATTATATTTTGCCTGTGTGTTTAAAAATAATAATGCATATTCCATTGAATATATATATATATATATATATATATATATATATATATCGCAGGTTTTTAATGATTAAATTTGATTAAATTAAAATTGTGTGTGTTAATAAATATTTGAAAAATTTTTTATTAGTTTATGTAGCACTTATCATTATAAGAGGTCGATAGTGTACTCTTACAAGAATCATGATCTTCGTGTCTCGACAGTTCGCTACAAAATAACAAATGTAATAACAAGCGCCAGTGATTATAAAGTATACAAATAATATAAAGTGTATACAATATAGACTACAAATATATAAGGGTGCGTTTTCACCTGACGCTATGATGTTGGATTTTAGCGACAAGATTCTAATAATCTAACATTTAACATTTTCAATCTATCCATAAGGGAGCAATTTCATTGTAGCTTTAAGTACTGCACTTTTTTTAGCAATACTAGCGTATAATTTATCTGTCAACAAATACTTTTCTTCAATCATCATATGTATAATATTTCTTCTCTTGCCTTTAACCCTGATTTAAAAACGCACGTGGCGTTAATGAAAGCCGACGATAATTTATTTCGATTTTTTGTTTTTAAATTATTTAAAAAGAGAAATATTTTCTCTGGGTCGGCACTTGAATTTGGAAGTAATCGGACAGCATTCCGAACATTTATTAAATTTGGATACTTAGTAATATTATTTGAATGTTTGGATGTAAAATTTTCTTCCACATATTATCAAAATTTAATTTGGAAAGATTTTGCTTCTTTTTCATTGTAAAATCTAATGGCAATGCAATTCATTTTTTCTTCAAAGCAGCTTCATCAAAACTATCTACAGTTTTAGCTATAAAAGAAACATCATTGAATGTTTCTCTATCAGTATTGAATAAGCTTACTACAAGAACTAAAAACTTGTAGTTTTAATAAAAATGTATTATTTATAGGTATAAATAATCCAAATAAGAAGGGAGAGTGTGCGTCACGGCAGGGCCCGACTACGAAATCAGTCGTGAAAACTTGTAATTATTTTGCGAAAAAATACCACCTCAGCCAGGAATCGTATCAGCGTATAATTCGTCAGATAATTTTAACAATTTGTGATTTGTTTTTTAGAAACGTTCAGAAAATTCATTATGAACAGACAATCGTTTGAGGATATTGTTAATAAAATTAGAAGTTTTTTTAAAAATTTCTTCACAAAATTCTGGTATTTTATTACATGCAGCATGCGCTATTGATGTGGCGAAATGGCAAAGGCATGTGAATATTAATAAATATGGACATATTTTTTCTAATTTTTTTTTTATGATAAATATGTCCTCATGACAAACGTATTGTCGCATAATAGGATTATAATATTTCAAAATGATATTTTCAATTTCCACGTTTCACATTTAAATGCGTAGAATAATTTTTCTGCGCTGAAGTCTTTGGCATCAATATTAATTAATTTAACTAGTTGTGAAAGAACATCTAATGTCAATGTATCGTACAATAAAAGCCATCCATTTAATATTACAAATATTACAAATATTAGGCATTTCGTCAATAAATATTAAAAATTTTATATTCCGAATTTTGTTAACGACACGTTCTGTTTCAATTGAGCACAAAACATTCGTAATAATTTTTTTACATTTTATACAACCCATGTTCATGCTTTTTAATACATTAGAATCTTTTCCTATATGTTGAAAAAAATTAAGAATATCTTTTGCAATTTGATGAGAAATATTTTTATCGGCAATTAATGCGGCATATCTAATTTCTGCTAATTTTTTACGCTTATCAAACAACAAAAGTGATTCATTATCTTCCGTTTGCAAATTTTGATTTGATTTGTTTATCTTAATGGAACTTTTATATTTATCTAAATGTCTTTTGGACTTTGCGTAATGATATATTTTGTGCTAAACCATCGGCAATAGCTTGATTACAAATGGAACAAAAAGATAAACTTGTATCGTTAGGTACTTTTCGTAACCAACATTTAAATTGTTCGATATCTAATCATTTATGTTAAAATACTGTTTTAGATATTTTTTTTATTTTCTATCATTGTTAGATAATAATAATCCTTTTATTTCTAATATTATTTTTATGATATGCAGAATCTGTATAAGAAATTAATAAACTACATGAAAAATTTTTATTGCATATACTGCAGTAATAAGGACTATTATTAGATTATAGAATTTTGCGTATCCATGATTTATATCAATTATCAGCAAATCGAGATGCTGTTTTACCGTGCACTGGAGGACAGCAAGGCCCCCTATATAGGCAATGAAATGAATTTTTAAACGCGAGTAAGTGTGGATGATATGCGATGCCTAGCGGCGCGAGCGGAATTATTAAGTGGCTGTGCGTATCGCGGCTGCCGGCGCCCGTCATAGACAATAAGACGAACTTTCTCGACAGATATATACATATATACATACATACGTACGTATATACGTACATATACATACATATCAATATGTACATACATGCATACATATACTCACTCATGCAAAAATGATTATTAATTATTTATAATGATTATTTATTTATAATTATTTATAATAAAATTTATAATAAAATTTATAATAAAATATTTTAAATTAAAATTCGCCTGTTACTTCTATCTTTCTTTCCATCTTTTACTTGTATTGTAGATAGATATATACATACATACATAAACACATGCATATATCCATACGCATATCTATATATGTATAGCTTAATAATATATATTTATAATTATATATTTAAACTATATATAAAATTGTATTAAAAAATTCTAATATTTTTTGCTTTATTAATTGCTTATGAAGAGGAAAATTTAGAAATACAACAAAAAATCAAAAGCAGAAATAAAACTCTAATTATTTTTATGAAAAAATAATAAAAGTTAACTTTAGTTAGCATGCGAAATATTGATAGTGTTAAAACTAATCGCGGTAGATATAAAAGATTCATATAAAGGTATTTCAAAATTCGAGAATAAGCATAAAAATTCATGAAAAAGTAACTAATAAAAGTACAGGCCATTTTTATTCATAAAATATTTTTTAAATGTCAAGGATTAAAATCAGATTATTATCCTTCAAAACAATAAATATCAAAATGTTGTTACGGCTGATTACAAAGCAATCAGTTCAAATATGTACTTGATGATCATACATTATGATAAGAGAGCTATCCTTTGTAGCTAAACTAATGTAATGTACATACTTAAAATAAAATATATGTATATTAGAAGTTTGATGAAAGTAAGTTAAAAGTTTTAACCAAGTAAAGCGTTAAAGAATAGACCTAAGAACATAATTTGAAACAATGAAAGAATGATTTTCATCGATTTCGACATCGGGCTCGCACAGATATCTCGTTAACATTGAAGTCGAATATTGTCTTCGATGAAATGCTTAATGCCTTACAATAAGCGTCTCAATAAAATATTTCCATCAATAAAATATTTAACGAGATACATATGATAATTTTTCATGTACGAGATTCACTTTTGCATGGTAACAATTACGAAAAATATTTGATACAGTTCGAACGTAAGTCCATAATTTGTCGCAACGCGTTTCATGGCTGAAACTATCGAGAGCGATATTGCAATTCTCGAAATAATCGAAACAGCGAACATATCGCAAAAACTGCTGACGTACATATAAAATATGAAATGATATATGAAAATATGAATTGATATTAATAATGTGGACAAAATAATAAATCAATTGTAATAATCCACATGAAACATGTTTATGTATATTTATGCATCCATGTATAGGTGTAAGAAATAAATAAAAGATAGCTCTTGTTTAAATATTTTCATGTTTCTTGCTTCTTATTATTATTATTGTTCTGTTATCTTAATTATTTTTATTTATTTCTCATAGTCACAGATATATAAATAAAATGCATGCAAATAGCATGAAAAATATTTCAGGCAATAGCACATAAAAAAACATGAATAGAATTTAAAAAAGTAAAATTTAATTATCGATTGAAAATAAAAAAATTAGAGCTGTGTATGAATTTCATATTTAATAGATTGTTCAAAAAAATTTAATTTATTAAACTAGAACGATAGAGCTTATTGTAAATATGTATTTTTTTCATTATCCCTTCCGTTCCAACTTGCGAACTTTGGATCTTGTTCAAATTGATTCGAGATCGTACACGACTTTCCAACCTAAAAATGGCAACCGCGAGTGTGGAGTGTAGCGATTTTTTAGAATTTCAGGTATTTCCGAAAATGGTAACATTCATACGTTTGCACACCGCGTTATATGAGTATAGCGAATATATATACATTTAATAATGCTTAATTCATTCTAAAATAAGATATTAAAGTCCTTTGTAATTGGTACCGGCTAGTGGCCATTATTTCATATTTTTCTTATATAAAAAAAACCATGCTATGACATAAAAAAAAGATTATTTAAAACTTAATGATGAGTAGATTTTCAACATTATTATTAAAGTCACGTCTTTTTTCTAGACGTATTTACGTACGCAACTTTATTAAGAGGTTAGGAATGTACACGTGAGATTAGCTAAATTCAATGAAAATATATATGTATATGTAAAACTCAAATAACTTTACACACTAGGTAGTTCTACATATATCTTTATATATTATGTAAATATCAATTTTATTTAGAAATCAAGTATGTAAATAATAATATATACAATATGCGTTTCAGGATATGTTAAGAAAAATGCGACAAATAGATGATAAAATAATTTATATGCTAAACACTACGATTCCTACCGAATCCTTCAAAGGCCAGGTGGATCCTTCTATGCAGTGTAAAGATTTATTCCAGCAAATAGAATCTGAACATAAGCAAAGGACACAAGCGATTACAAGATGTGTAAATATTGCTAAGGAAAAAGTGATGCATTTAAAGAATTTAAAAGAAAAGAACGGTGACACGGATCTGATGTTAATAAAAAATTTGAGAAGTGAACAGACTAAATTGAGACTACTACAATCCGAGCTCAATATAGAGGAAGTTGTAAAGAAACGTACAACACAAGTCTATTACGAGAGATGTCGTGGATTTTATAAACCATCACACATGGACACATAGAATTTGTTGAATAATATAAAGCAGAAGATTTGGTTATTTGAATGCTATTTTTGAATTGTTACAGTTATATAGCTATATATAGAAATTTTGTAAACATTAACAATTATTGTTTATCCCTTAAATCATTGTTATTTTATAATGATTATTTTATAATGATAATGTACAATATATATATATATATACTGATTCTCGAAAATTTATTGCAATTGCTATAAGGAGAATTGAAATCATATATAAGGAGAACTGAAATACGGAACAATGCAGTGTTATATGTATTTAGATATTTTCTATTGTACAAGCAATTAGAATGCTTATTAAATCTAATGAGAATCAGGTGTCCATCACATTGTATATCTCATTGTATACTCTCTACAGTATACACACATCAAAAATCTAAATGTAAATAAAAGACATAAGTTTACAATATCTGCATATATATATATATATATATATATATATATATATATATATATAATAATATTATTATTTTATTATATAATAATATATATATA